TCTGAAGAAGAAGAATAGCTACAACATGTTGACGGTTCCATGGCAATTAACATATTCACGGGTTTTGCTTGTCGGACAGAGAAAGAGAGCGAGAGAGAGGAGAGAGGAGAGAGAGCGAAGAACTGACGAAGAAATAAACAAAGAAACAACAAAAGAAAGAAATATGGAAAGACAGAAAGAAAGAAGGAACGAACTAATAAATAGAGAGAATGAGAAAGAGAATGAGGGCGAGAGAGAGTGGGCAAGAGGGAGCGAGCGAGAGAGAATGAGAAAAAGAGAAAAAGGAGAGAATGAGTGAGAGAGAGAGAGCGAGAGAGACAGAGATGAAAGAGAGGAGAGATGAGAGAGTAGAGATGAGAGAGTAGAGATGAGAAAAAGAAGCTCTTGAGGCGAGCTGCTCAAGGGACACCCTGGAGGCATTCAGGTCCCGCGGCAGCTGCAGCAAGGGCCAAAGCAGCTTAAATCGGCTCACCCGGAGCCTCTGACTTGGGGTTTAGGGTTTAGGGTTTAGGGTTTAGGGTTTAGGGTTTAGGGTTCAGGGTTCAGGGTTCAGGGTTTAGGGTTCAAGGCATAGGGTTTAGGGCTGTAAGAACTTGTAGGTGTGTTAAGTAGGGTTTGGGGTTTGGGGTTTGGGGTTTGGGGTTTGGGGTTTGGGGTTTGGGGTTTGGGGTTTGGGGTTTGGGGTTTAGGGTTTAGGGTTTAGGGTTTAGGCTTTCTGCCGCTAGGCTTCTTGCCCGTAATGTAATAAGGTTTATAGGTGTGTTTGTAGGGCATACGCAAGGTTTTGGGGCTCGGGGGTTTAGGGTTCTGCCGCTAGGGTTGTTGCTTTCATGGGTCATGCAGCATACCCTGAACCCTGAAACCGTCACCGTAAGCGCTAAACCCTGGTCGTAAACCCTAAAACCCGGAACCCTACGGTTTTGGCGGCTGAAGCTCCAACCCACCTGTTTCTGATCTTTAGGTTGACATGGAAGCCCTCAGCCTCCAGGTTTAAGGTTTAGGGTTTAGGGTTTAGGGTCCCAACATGCCCCCTCAAACCCTTCGTTGGGTTTGGGGTTTGGGGTTTTGGGTTGAAGGTGTAGGGCATACCTTGGGATGTTCCCCCTTGTACTAACAGTCCTTAATAGGAAGTAAATTTGGGAGGGCTACCAGAATCCCCATAAGGGACTGTTCGTAGACAGGGCCTTGCATCTCCCAACCCTCACACCCCAAGCCGATGATGCCCCCAAAATCGCCCCTCCCTCTCTGTCTGTCTCTCTCTCTCTCTCTCTCTCTCTCTCTCTCTCTCTCTCTCTCTCTCTCTCTCTCTCTCTCTCTCTCTCTCTCTTTCTTTTTCTCTTTCGCCATCTCTTCCCCTCCCTCGAGGCAAGACGTTGACCTCCTCTTCCGCCTTCTTCTCCTCGTCTGCCTTCTTCTCCTCGTCTGTGCCGGAACCGGACTCGTCTTCCTGACAATTCTGCCACTACCACCACCACCACGACCCTCGAGGCAAGACGTTGACCTCTTCCTCCTGCCTTCTTCTCCTCGTCTGTGCCGGAACCGGACTCGTCTTCCTGCACAAGGACAATTCTGCTACTACTACCACCACCACGACCACCAGCACGACCACACCCAGTACCACTACTACTATTAGCGCTACAACAAATTCGCCTCGACACGTCTGTCTCTCTCTCTCTCTCTCTCTCTCTCTCTCTCTCTCTCTCTCTCTCTTTCTCTCT